TACTTGTGATATTTTTGTGGCACTGGGACCCATAAAATTGCATACCATTTGAAAAAATATATAAACAAGCTTTCATTTGCTACTTTTTTCTGTTGCCACTGTTTGCTTTGCTGCCAAGCTACTTCAAGTTCAAAAAAGGGCTAAATTTTTTTTTTGCTCACCCTGTATATTCATGTTGCTTTGAGAAGAAATCATGGCAAGTCTCATTAGAATATCACATTTCACTCTCACAGCATTTCTGCCAAGCTACTTCAAGTTCAAAAAAGGGCTAAATTTTTTTTTTGCTCACCCTGTATATTCATGTTGCTTTGAGAAGAAATCATGGCAAGTCTCATTAGAATATCACATTTCACTCTCACAGCATTAAAGCATATTTTTCTGCGATTTGTTGAGTATTTTGGGTATCATTTTCTGTAATTTATTAATCACAATTATTTTGGTTTTCTCTCTTTGTTTTATAGTCCAATGTATCGGATTTGTGCACAAATTCCTTCTTCAACTATCCAAGTGTTTTTGTTAAATCGTTCTCTTATTCAATCGCTTCATTGTGAATTGTGATACATTCAGAATTTTATTTCTTTCATCCAAAAATTGCTAAATTGTGTGACAAACGTGATGGGAACATGTATTCAATGTGTTTCCCTGGATGCATGTTCTTGCTGCAAACCAGGTAATTGCCTATATTATTCTTTTCCACTGCTATATTAGGTCCTGTTCTTTTGTTGGAATTGTCACCAAGATAATGTATCATATTATAGACCCATGGGCTGCAAATGCATGAAATGGAAATGCGCAGCAAAACATGTACTGTACTTGACAAAGTTTTTTCAAACCAAAGGTGTCAATGCGGATTTAACAGGCTCTTGACTCCTGCATGCTTTGATACTTCGAAATATTGACGCGCAATGGAAACTTTCAACAAGTCCATAGAATTATTTATGCATCACTGTCAATTTATTCAAGCTGCTGCCATAAATGCCAGCCTCCCTCTTCAGGTCTGAATCAGTATCAGTCCCTAGAAAACAATTTTCAATTAACATTGAGCTTTTCGAAGAAATTTCTCTCCTTTTAAACATGTTGAAAATCATTGTGTTATTGGCTGTTTATTCGACATTTTTCATGCTCTCTGGAAATGCAGGTAAGTACGTTTGGAATTATCAGAGAATCTTTTCAATGTATGCTTTAAAAACATTCCAATTATAGAGTACAAAACATGCATTATTTCAATATTTGGAAAAAAATTGAGTTTTCCAGTTGAAGGAGGAATTTAAACACTAATATTTTGTGGCAAAAACACATTGCTTTTTTATTTCATAGGTAGACCCTACTTTTGAGTACTGTTTGAACGAGTTATATGGTGAATTTATTTAAAAAACCCTCATCTTGGGGTTTTAAACTGTAATGAGAGACAAAAAAGCACTGCCAAATAGCTTGAATTTTTAATTGCTGAAGCTAAAATTTGAAGAAGTGTTTTTATTCATTAGTCTTGGGAGTGCAAATTTTTGCATGAAGCGTTCAGTTTTTCAAACTGAACATTGACAAGAACCTAACATTAAAATTAATAAAAAATTTACACATGTAAGAGCACATTTTCGGAATGTAAATCGGATTATTTCAGCCTATTTCCTCAACCGAACGAGAGAATAAGAGAATAGCCAGAAAATCAAGAAAGACGCAAAATGAAAATACATGTTGATCATAATATCGTAATATCTTGGAAAAAGTATGTATTTATCACGCGTCTATAAAAAAGTTGTAGGAATAAAAATTGAATAGGCGTAAAATTGAGCTGGAAAATCATTCTCTTTTTTGAAAAAGAAAGGATTCTTTTGCGCAATACAAATTCATATACTTTGGCGAATTACAAATTTCACTGTGGTAAGGTATTTTACATCCTGCAAAACTTGAAAAAAATTACGAGAGGTTGTCAAAATTTCTTGGAATACAAATTGAAACAACATGTGATTGAGCTGAAACCCATTTTTTCTTTTTTTTAAATGCATTCTTTGGCACAGTTCGTTTGACACATTTTACGAAAATTTTTCGAAAATTCTAACCATTGCATCTGTCACATCTTTACTGAGAAGCTGAGGCACCCAATCTCGCAGATTTTTGCATTCCAAGAAAATTTTACTTCAACCCTCGTCTTATATAAAAGCGCAGGCAGAAAAAAAATGGGGAAAGTATTGTGGTTAAATTTTCCTTTTCTGACGTAGTTCTGGAAAATAAACGCGATTTTTCTCTCGAGTTTCTAAAATTTGAGTCCTTTCATGTGTTGCTGATTGCTGGAAAATCAAGATACTTGGCTGAATTGCCTCGGTCGTGAATGTGAAGAAAGTGTCTCATATAGAATCTTACCCTGTTTTTTTTTTGTGATTCACCACCAGCTAAGCACAACATCGACAAGATCCCCAAGTGTTGCCTACACGGAACATTTTGCAATACTTTCGAATACCCGAATTGCGCCAAACTTGGCTCCAGTGCCAATAAAGACGAAGTCATCACCCCCGGCATAACCCATCAGGAAAAATACTCTTCCTGCTGCAGACTCGCCAAAGACTCAAAGGGTGTCTTCATAGTCTGTCATTCCAGCTTCTGCGATGCTGGTGCCAATATTGGCAGTGTGCCAACACGAACGAGCAAGCTGCACATTCCGGAATGTCTGGACTATCCTGACCCTGTGACTGGGGCTTATGGCCGATACGCCTGCTTTTCCCAGCCAGTCCAGGAAGAGGATTTGAACGGCCCGTCGATTTACCTGGGGTTTTCGGAAAATGCTGGGCATGCTCGTTTGTACCCGAGTTGCCAACCCGTGTGCGGGTACCCGGGTTGTAATCCGGTCTGCGAGAAAGATGGAAGCCTTGTTTGCTGATCCCGGGAATTGTTGAGGAACCCATGGGCATCAAGGAGTTCGGAAAAAGAGGAAATCCGATTGACATAATGATTTAGAAAATATATGTTTTAACCGGATGTCAGGAACTTGCCTGTCTTTTCTTGCATACGAATATATATCCCTGGGGAATATGGGTGTTACAAACCCAAAAAAATTGAAATTATTTTCACAAAACAGCGTCAATCATCAATTTAGTGCCAACTCATTTGTGGCACACAAAAAAATCTCCTGTCCTGAATGAAAAACAGGCCAAAATCTGAGAAATTAAAGCCCATTTCTTGGGATATCTTAGTTTATGACACAGACTTACATGTCCATGCACAGGATAATTTCAAAATTTTCAATTATAAATTCACAAACAATTTGATAGTGTTTTTTGGATTTTCTGTTACCATCACTGAAGAGCATTTCAAGAATTGGAATAGCCTTGTTTATTTTAAAATAATTTTACCTGATCTTGGACTTATGTGCTTTTATTGAAAGGTTAATAAAAACTTCCAAAATACAGCTAAACTCTTTTATTTGACTCAGTATATACTCAAAAATATAATATATTCTATACTTCTATACTGATGTACACAAATAAAAATTCAATAAAAGTGGTTCAGTTGATCAAACTCTTTCCTGTGGATTTCTCTCTTTTAAAATAGACTCTATGTGGCTCAAAAATTCTGAAAACAAGCTCATTTTACTTATGGTACATAAAACCATCACCTAAATTTTACTGATAACTCACTGGATGCCACAAAATGGGCCAAGATCAATGACAGAACTATATTCAAGTTTTGGTGTACCTGTGCCAGGTATTGTCCAACAACCAACAACAAATAGGAGCAAAACTGACAGTACAGTCAACCCCTGTCTAACGGACTTGATTTGTGCAAGGGACAAGTCTGTTAGACAAAAAGTCCTTAACACAAATTCAATTAAACCAAAAGAAGTCTGTTTGGCGGATTTTGTCTGTTGGACGGGAGGAAAAACTGCTTGCAGAGCTGGTCTGTTAGGCAAAAATCCCTTACACAGGAGGTCTGTTAGGCAGGGGGCCACTGTACTGTACAGTCAACAGACCAATTTGCGCAACAGACTAGTCTGTTGCGCAAATGCCATTCTGAACAAATTAAAATTTCTGTTTTTTATCATTCATTTCAAGCCAACAAAGTCTCTTATGCAGATATAGTCCATTCAGCAGAAGGGAAACCACTCCAGAGGCAGTCTGTTGTGAAAAAATCTGTTGTGTGGGAGGTCCACTGTGCAGGGGTTGACTGAATAACAGAAAGGAAGTAGATTCTGTAATTTTAAGGCCATAAAGAAGTGAAAATTTTCACCTCAAAGATGAAATGAAAATTCAACTTCAATTTTACTTGTTTTATTCAAGATCAAGCAAAACATTTTGCTCTAAAATGCATGGCAAGTTTGCATTGTCCTTTAAAAAATTTGCTTTCCAACCGATTTTGCTTTTAAAATTGTAGCAAAGAATGATAATTCAAACAATTGGAACATCACATCCCGCTGGGGAAAATGGAGTTCTTGAAGAATAGTCCACTCAAAACTGCTTCTTATGAGAATAACACCTTCTTGGAAATGAAAAACTGAAAAAAATATTTTTTTCAAGAATCATCTCTCGTCTTGAGCAAGATAATTTCAGTGAGCCCGCATTAAATCTGCTGCAATTTACAATTTTACAAAGGAAAATCTGACAGAAGTAAACGGGAAATTGTTCCATAGGAATCACTTGACCGAATAATTCGGTGTCTTTCATCATCAGGTGATGTACACAGAAATTGTGTCTTCATCATTGGTACATTTTAAGCATCAGTTGCTCATGCGACCCGAAAAATACTTATTCGATCGAAACCATGAAGTGTATAAAGTTCCTGTAATAATCGTGATTTTTTTTAACATTTGGACTTGAATAAAGTAAAAAAAAAATATTACCATCCAAGATATGAGGAATTTCTCGAATTCGTGCTGATATAAGGCGCTAAAAACGAATGGAGTTGCTGATTTGTTTTCCTTCGTCACGCCCTGTAGGTCTCAAAAAAGCCCTCTCTGTTCTTGGCCACTGAAAAGTATCCAAAGCGCGAATACCTAAAAAATGCTGCATGAATCGTAGTCAAAAATCAATCTTTTCATTTTTCGTTTCACTTGAATGAACAGCAGCACCCTGTCACAGAAAAAAAAAAACAACGCATACGCTGATGACAAGCTGAGGTGCACTGGTATCATTGGAAACCACCAAAAAATATCCTTTCGCGTTCAATTGCTTCCAAGCCCCTCGTCATTCATCCAATCAAAAGAAATTTTCGCTTTCAGATTTTCAAAAATACCGCATGAAAACTGTCAAGAAACAGAAGCAAATTTCGTATTTTCTGCTGAAAAAGAAATCAAACGAGGGATTTTTTCTTCGAAGTTAAAAAAGTAAGTCCGGAGGTTTCGTCGGTGGTTGAATCGCAGTCGTGCAAAACAGCAAACAAATTTGAAAGCGAGAAAATACACGTCAAAATGAAAATACAACCCGTAATCCATTGTCGAAATTTAAACTTCAAAATAATAAAACGCAAGGCGCATTTCAAAGGCAAAATTAAATAAAAAAAACGAATGTAAAATCATCAGCAAAATTCCTTGAAAAAGTCTACAACATCGCATTACTCTATTTGTCATAATTTATACGTCAATTCATATCTGCAGGATCATCACGAGAAAATAGCAGTTGATGATACTCAAATAATGACAGAAATCTGGAGAAACTTTGTTCGACTGGCTTTTTGCTTCATTCGGTTTTGCATCAGCTTTCCATAAAAACAACGGTTTGCACTACGCAAAAAAAAATCGAAGAACATTTTGGCAGCTTCCAAAGGCTCCCTTTCAGTAAAAAAAAATCTGGCAGTCAATTCAAAATAAAATAACTTATAGCGAAATTATTTGAATATGCAGTGAACAAATCATTGCGCAAACAATAGAAAAATTCTTGAGACCCAAGAAAAATGCTAAAAAAAAACCTCAACTGCTAAAAAAATATGAACCAACGCCAAAATTTTTAAAAATTTCCTTATTCAGCTATCGAAAATTTTGGGATCCGAGCTTTAAAATAAATTTTAAAAATTTTAGTAAAAATTCCCCACAATATAATGTAGTCTAAAACAGTTGAAACCCAATACAGTACTAATCAGAAGTAGAAACGCAAAATTAAAAATTAAATCAACCGAAACTACAACTGATTAAGACAAGATCATCATTCTGCCTTTGAAATGCTCCCCTCAACATCCAGCTAAAACAAAACAAAAAAATAGAGAGAGAGAAGCAGAGCAAAATAAACAAATAAATAATATAAAGGCAAATTGTCAACGAAATCCAAATCGGAAAGAGTTTAAAAAAAAAATAGATCAGACACACACACACACAAACAAACACACACACACATACACAGAAAAAGCACGGGGTCACAAATAGGGTTCCGTCCAATACTTGACGAGTCCCGTGACGGGTTGCTGGTCCAGCAGACCCTGGTTGTGATTGTCGTGGAAGACGGACAACTTGTTGAGCTTGCTCCGGTTCTTGACGTCTTTGGGCTTCACCACGGACCTGTGGTTGTTGTTGGGCGTGGGTCGATGCACGATGATGGACTTTTGACTCAGGCCCGTGGCCTCGAGGAACTTTTCGTAGCTGCCTGAAAAGTGCACCAGTTTGTTGGCAGTCGTGTCAGAAGATCCTCCTGCTCCTGCTGCTGATCCTGATGCTGGTGCAGACTTGGTGCTGGCGTCGTCATCAGTTTCGCAGCCCGACGTTTCTGCGCCGTCGCGAACCTGGTGCGGAGTCCCTGGTCTTCTGGATGACGATCCCCCTGATAAGTTGAAATAAATATTGAATAATTTTCAATAATGGGGCACAATACAGTGAGACCCCCACATGCGGACACATCGACCTGCGCACAATTCAACATCAGGACACTTATTTCATTATAAAAAAGTAATAAAAGAAGGCCCAATTTGAGGACACTGACTCAACATAGGGACATTTTGTTATAAAATTGCAAATACATTTCAGACCAAATTACAAGAAACAGATATTTCCAACCTTAAAATTGATGTAAGAAAAGTTCTTGGGCATTTCTCTCACCAATTTACTATCCATTTAAAAAAAAAAAAAAAATTGCCTCNTAACACGTCAGACAATTTTTCACGTGCTGAAATTTAATTTTTCCATTCTAAGGAACCTTTCTTCAAGCCCAACCTTCTTATTTTTTTAAAGACATTCCACTAAAGCTGCTTCAATTATTCTCGATTTTTGAAAAAAAGAGAAACTTTTTAAATGCTTACCACAGAGTCTTTCAAGCAAAACTTTTTTTTTATTCTGCAAACATTTTATGAAAATTTGCCTGTGAACAGAAAATACTGTATCTGGGAAATTTGCCAATCATCAGAAAAAAAGTTACTGAAATATTTTGGTTTGGGGGCCCAAAAAGGTTGAAGAACCCTGCTTTGAAATACTGTACAGTACTTCCAGGATAAATATGTAAAGAATTGCCATAATTTCAAAGTTATTTTCATGGAATTACTGTGGAGAGAAAATTAAAAATTTAGAATCCAATTATGTTTCTTTGGACCAATCCTTTTTGAAATTTCCAAGAACCAAAGTTTTTGAATAAATGCTGAAACAAACAGATGATGCTTGCATACAAAGAAAATGTATTCGTTTATTAATCATTTCTGAATCCTAAACTTTACCGAATGACTTCATTGAAACAGGAGTTTCCTGCATGTGAAGCCATAATCACCTGAGGTAGTTGAATGGTAGTCTGAACCAGAAGAAGATGTTGAGGATGGTGAGGCAGCTGGTGGAAAGTCCAAGTGGAATTCTTCAAAATTGGCCTGCACAATCCCCTCAGTCAAATTTCCACTAGAAGTGGACAGAGTCAATCTCGTCTTGCTGGGTCTCTTTGGTACTGCTTCCTTCATCACAAGGTTCCTTCAAAACAAACCCAAAAATTCAAGTTTTAAATATACGTACATGCCCACTCATTTACAGGTCAAACATCTTTAAGCTTTGGTCTGACAGAGGGACATGAAAAACGAATTCTTACTGAACCTAGTCAACTTGTCTGCTGGCATGCATG